TATGGACCAGCATCAAACCATGTCTTAACTGGCCAGTCTGTTCATAACCAACGCATAAAACGGCTATGGAGGGATGTCCACAATTACATTGGTACATTATATAAAAATATATTTTACTACTTGGAATCAAATGAAATGTTAGATCCTATCAATGAAATTGATTTGTATGCTTTGCATTATGTCTTCTTACCACGATTGAGTAAATCAATAAGAGACTTTGGTAATGCGGTGGAATAACCATCCACTGTCCAGTCAGCATAGACATACACCCTTGCAAGTGCGGACACAAGGATTTTATAACTTTGCCCTGTCAGATTATACAACAGTGAGAGAGGTTTTAGACCCAAACAATGTGGACTTTCAACATTATGGTATTGATGATGATGGATCCTTGCCAGAAGTACAAACAGAAAATTCTGTTCAGATACCAAGGTCAGCAATTGAACTTACAGTTGATGAATATCAATTACTTTTAGATAATCTGAATCCTCTAATTAATGATAATGACCATGGCATTACTGCATATCAATCAGCAAAAAACATTTTGATAAATATAATAAATGATAGAACATAACATTCAGCACAAATTCTAGTCTTTATATTAGTTGTCCAAAGTGCTGTTTTAACTGCAAATACGTAACAGAATGGAAACTTGTCATATAGACATGCTATATTATATCTGCATTTGACATATATAGTATGTATAACTGGCTACATACTGAAAAAAAGTCTGACTAGCTGTATACTAAATATTATATTGCTAAAAGTTTTAATATTCAGAATTGCCAGCTAGAAGCTCACTGTTTAATGTAACTAACATTTTTTGCAACACTGTGTCATACAATATTCTAGAAAGTAAAAACAAATAAATCTTAAAAATACACCATAGTTTACAATCCTTGAACCATAACTAAAACAAATAGTTTACATAACTTGAAGCAGAACATGAACCATAGCAAGAAACACTTTCCCATATGCATGTATATGCAATAATATATAAAATATTTCAGGCTTTGTAAAATCCACACGAGTCAAACAATGATCTTGACAAGAGCTCTTCGAAAGTGGTAGGATCTTCATGGCCTCTTGGCAGTGCAAGAGTCATAGCACATGTTGATGCATAGGGATATCGAGTAGTTTCCTCCTCTTGATCATAGAAAATAATACCTAACATATCCTGAAATCCCAATGGTGGAATAGCATCTGCTCCGGTAGTAAACTAAAGTAAATGTTCAAAGCAAACAGATATCGTTGTTGTATCACATGGATAAATCATCTGGCAATCTGAATTACAAGTAAAATTAAGGGTTTTTTTTACACCAGTATTCTACCACTCATGAGTAATAAGTTTATATATGACACTGGCAGATACATATGTAGGCTTGTTAGTTAACTCATTTACTGGCAGTATGTTACCACTGAGGAGTAAAATCATCATGCAGATGGGTGAATAAATCATGGTTATAATAAAAAATATTCATTAGAGGTTGTAAAATACACTTGTAAATGTACATTATAAGGTTTACCTACCATATAATACAATGCTGCTGTTAAACATTCAACAAAATACTGTACCTTCAACCTTTCTTAGGCATTGTTCCCAACAATAGATAGTTTCATCTTCCTTTAATCTACGGTTACTCCACTCTATTTGGTATAGTGATTCTGGATACAATTGCACTTTTTCCTACAGACTACCAACATCATTAAGGCCATCCTTGAACTGCTCAATTTCAGATGATACCCTATGTAAATTAGGTGTCAAAAAGAAAGTATTCTGTCATTAATAACCATTTTCATGGATATGTAATCTTGAATGCATGAGCTGGCATGTAACTGCAATTTAATTTAGTAGCTAATTATCACAGTACATACAATTCATAATTATAATATTTGTAAAAGTTAACTCCGATTAGATACAGGAAGAGCTATTAGCTTCATTTAAACAATATATTTCATTTGCATGCATGCAAAGTATGCCAAAGAGCTATATAAACAGACCTGTTACATACCTGTAAACCAGATACTGCTTAATTAAAGCCTTTACAATGAATTGCTTCTGATCAAGCTTAGTTGCATATATTCATTGATAGCCTTGGTTGGCAATATAATCCGCCTCCTCTTGTAAAAATTATTTGTATTCCTCTTCGGAATTTAAAGCCTTTAGCTACATATGAAAAATACATACAATAACAGGTATTAAATTGTAAGGAAAGAACTCATTACCTATTTATATCATAGTAATATAACAAAAAAAATATTTATTTATTAATTTATGTTTTTGAATCTAGTCTTACAGTAAAGCAATGAAAAATACCAAAATTCTATAGACTAACTAATCAGAATCAGATAAATTGACTGAAAATTCTATTAATTGTAACATAGACAATCCATGTTTTCTCTATGTAAAAGTGAACTGTTTACTATACCTGTTGCAATATTTTAATGAAGTCTCGATCAGTCAAAAATGTAAAGTCAAAGTCACACAATGCAAGGTAATTTTATTACCCACAAATTAGGTCATATAAAGTAGGCTCTAGACATCAAAGACCAGGACCATCCTGCATCAGTGACATTCCAACTAGCCTTCTAGCTAAGAAATATTTATTCTCCTCCAGTGGTTTTAGATTATGACTGAAAACCATGTGCCCTTGACTTCCCTCAAAAATTCCAGAGATATTACACAAATCCAGCATGATCAATCTGGGAAGAGAAACATATTAGCAATCAGTAATCAGTGTTTTTGTCACAGTTTGTATTGACAGATAGTGAATAGCAATTTGCCATCTATTGCTCATATTTTTATATTCAATGTAATGTTTTTTTCATAGCCAACTTTGTATATAATGTGTATAGTAGCTGCATGGACATACTAGCTTAGGCCAGCAATGCTTGGTTGGCTAATCGCTGTTGCAGCCTTATAATTTTTATGTATGCTAGCTGAATCCGTGACTACTATTGTTAGAGTGTAATGTCATATCAAGTATAGGTAAAGCTAATAAATAAACATTGTAGCTACTGTAGATTTAAAGATAACTCTGGGTGTTCAAATGAATGTTTGATGAAGTATTACAATACTACGTCTTGCTTGCTTAATTGCCCTAATAGCATACCCATGCAGTACCTAAAAAATTCTTTCCAAGGCCCTCCAGCATCAGTTGCTTCTTCTCCACTAAACTCCACTATAAGGTCTTTGCAGCTGTCAAACATCTTTAGTTTAATGGCATAAAAAGTAGTTGCAAAAAGTTTTTCCCTTCCAACAGTAATTTCATTTGGGTCACCACTTCTCATGCATGCCTGTTTGTGTTCACTCAGTATATCCTTCAGACTTTTAACTGGTGGTTTTGAATCCCTAAGAAAGACCATAAAGGAAATTTCCATTGACTTGTGGTAAGCCATTTAATGTTTTAGCAGTTCATAGTTTAGCATTATACGCATTTATTGCTTCATCAATTAAATGACTGTTGCTCCATTTTGCTTTATGCCTGACTGGATATGTGGTGTCTCTATCACATGGGTGTGATGAGTGTGCTAACATGTATAAAGGTGGTTGCACTACATATCCGGATGCACCAATCTGCACTGACATGGCATCGCACACTAAATGTGTGTGCAGAGGTGCTCATGCCATATTAGAACTATACAGTTAACTAAGGATTATTAGGCAGTAGGAAAACGTACACATTAATTTGTTCATCATCCATGGATGCCTGAATTGCACGCTGAATATCACCTTCCTGTTCTTAATGCACCTATCAATGTTAAGCTCGAGAGGGGGGGGGGGTTCAGGCAAAGGGTGGGGATTTGATCAACGAGCTAGTCTCCAGGGTTGGGATTTTGAGATGCCCTTTCCCCCTAATTTCCCGAGGATGGGGAATTTTGAACAACAATTCGTGATTTTATAAACGTAAAAGAGATTGGGTACAACTACATTCCTGGCGTGTTCTTGCGTGTTTCATATGCTGAAATGGTGGAATTAATACAAGACGAGGTGAGATGAAATTTAATCCTTTCAATCTATCAACTATTTAAGTTTATAAAATTGTACATTTATGTAGTTGCGCATAGGCTTTCATTGGTTTTTATTAATATTTGCGTCTTAGTTTGTTTTCTTGGCATATACATGCAAATATCTTTTATACATTATGAGGTTTTTGTTGACAAAAAACATATATTTATTAAATATGCTGTTTAATATGTAAATTTATATTGAAACTTGTCAGAAAAAAGGCAAAATTTGCCTCTACACGGCATAAACAGGCATCAGCGTTTGGGATGATGCAAAACTTTTATTAGTCGTGGCGACGACTCATAAATTACTGCGATTGTGGTCGAGAAGTTCACACCCCCCCCTGGAAAACCCCCCTGATTCCGCAGGTAGCGTCCTTAAGGCTCAGCCTAGCCTGCATGGCAGGCGGTCCCTGAAATCGGGCGAGGCGAGGACGGCGAAAGACCGCCTGCCGGGTTTGGCTATGTTTTTTAAAAACCCCGTCCACTGGTGGACGGGAATTGATGATTGGCTGCGAGTCTAATCCGCTGTCAATCAAGAGTAAATATTGTTAATATGTAACATAAAACTAGATCAAATTACTTTACATATTCCACGCGTCTGGTCATGGCGGAATTTATTGACGATTGTGTTCTCTCTGCTGTTTTAAATCGAAACGAGAACTGGTTCTTAAACGCGAGCAGGAGATAGCGGTTAAAGATTTACTTCTTGGGAAGCATGTTTTAGCCGTTCTCCCCACTGGTTATGGGAAAAGCTTGATTTTTACGTTGTTCTTGTTGGCGCAAGAAAATATGGCAAAAATAAATAAAACTGAACGCAGTAGCATTCTTGTTATTTCTCCTCTACGCAGTATTATATATAGAAGATCAAATAGCTGAGATGCTTTCGATGGACTTCTCAGCGGTGGAACTTTTGGATAAAAACGTTTCAGAAGTCGTCAAGTCTCCACCGCAGTATATTTATGCAAGCGTGGAAAGCGCAATCAATAAAGCTTTTCTTGATTCGCTCAAGAACAGCAATTCTGCGATTCATCGATCCATTGCTCTTATTGTCGTGGACGAGTCTCATACTGTGGAAACGTGGACGGGGAAAAGGTAATTAAGATAAATTATATTTTATCTCTAATATTTTTTTTGTATTTTTGAAAAAATCACTTGGTTTTATGTACCTTGATAGAAGTAAAAGAGGATCAAGCATCCAGAGTGAAGCATTCAGAGATGCTTATGGCAAACTGGCAATTCTGAGATCAATGTGTAAAGAACGTGAGTAGTTAAATTTAAATACAAATTTTATAAAAAGAAAAGCATGGAAACAAGTTAGTCATTTTGTGACAAAAATTTTGAATACACCTGTCATTCTTTCATATTGTCATAATTTAATTGCAATAGCCAATAGGCATTTGTGCACAGATTTGTGTAAGGTTAAGTAAATCAACCCTAACCCTATTCTAAATTTGTAACATTTTTCTCTAATATAGGAACACCTGTTTTAGCACTAACTGGCACTGCTGATGAGGTGACACAGAAGGTCATTTGTTCCAATTTGGCAATAACTGATGCAACAAAGTTGTTTGTCAGTCCAAATCGAACAAATTTGAGATTTGACATAAACAAGGTGCCAAAAACACTTATGCTTTCCAAACTGGATTGGATTGCCAACATGATAAAACAATATGTCATGCCAAAAACAATTATATTTTGTGACACAATCTATGCTCTTGCCCAAGTAGTGAACTATTTACAAATGAAACTTGGCACATATGCATTCTACCCAAACAGCTCAAAGAAGAGAGAGGACTGTTTGATTGGCATATTTCATTCAATGATTAAGGAGAAATATAAACAACGCATTTTTGAATCTTTAAAAGGAAGTGGTACAAAACGAGTTGTGGTTGCTACATCAGCTTTGAGTATGGGCGTAAATTTTCCTGACGTAAAATATGTGGTGATGTATGGTCCACCAAGGAATCTTTTAGATTTTCACCAGCAAGCAGGGCGAGCCGGGCGAGATGGAGCATTAGCTCATACTGTACTGTTCTATTATGGCCAGCAAGTTGCACATGTTGAGAATGAGATGAGAGAATTTCTACAATCATCTGATTGTTTTCGCGTAGCAAGCTACAGTAAATTTGATAAGACCATAACTCCTTTATCACCACATCACATTTGCTGCAATACTTGTTCTAAGAATTGTGAATGTGGGTCATTGGAGTGTAAAGTGGTTCAAATTCCCCATGAACAACAAACAATAACTGGTGATGCAATGTTACATGTATCTCCACTTCGCCGGTCCGTAAATGAAGAAGATAGATCTCTACTGAAAGATGCACTTGAAGCTCACCAGACACAGTTTTCTATAGGTGGAAATATAACTGCTTTTGGCCTGTTATCATGCTATGGCTTCTCCAAAGAAGCTATTTCAGATGTGCTGGACAATTGCCACAAGTTGTTCACTATTAAGGACATTTTATATTGTGTCCCTGTATTCTCTACAGTCCATGCTAAAGAAGTCCTTAGTGTAATTAATGAGGTGTTTGATGACATTGATGAAAGCACATTTCAAAGTACTGATGATGATGGTGGCACTACTGATTTCAAACAATTTTCACTCGATGATCTGCTGCAAAGTGAATTCAATGAAACTGCCTTGGCTGAAGATTTGAATGAGTATGACTTTATTTAATTGTCTAAGTATAATTTCTGACTGATTGTGCACCTATTTACATTGGAAATTTGAGTACATATAAATACATAGTGAAAAAATATAGAATGATTTTCAAACTGTCTTGTGTTCAGGCTGTTTCTAATCTCTATAGGCAGAATCCCATGTTTTGATATGACCTTTCAACCATGCATGTAAATCCCTATAGTTCAATCTTCCAAGAAGTGTTTTTGGGAAGTTTGCAAATGTTGGGTGACCTTTTCTGCCTTTGCAAAATTTGAAAGCATTTATTTTCACAAGATCCTTAGTAACTTGGGCTACAGCAACTTCAGGCTTGCCTTTGGATCTGTAACCAATATTAGAAGCAAGGTCACAGTCCTGGTCTATTTCATCAAGAATTGCTTCCATCTCATCGACAGTGTTAGCAAGCCTTGCAGCGGATGCCTCATTTAGGTTTGCACCTAGAGATCTCCACAAGGTTTTAACAATCTTGTTCAGTTGCTCCATTCTTAAATCTAAGGGAATGTTTCCTCCCTTTATTCCATGCTTGTTAAAAAACCTGTTCCACTTCAAGTTGTGTGCATCATATTTTGAAAGAATGCCATTAATCTTAACAAGTAACAAAAGCACTTCATATGCATACTTGGTCTTGCCATGTTCTTTGAATAGAAGGAGTGCCACTTTATACACATCAATAAGTCTTTCCCCATCACCCTCTTTTATTCCATCATTGAACTCCATTAGAAGGAGTCCAAACGTTAACTTAGCACAGTGGTAATTGTAAAGATTGTCCTCCTCTTGACTTTCATTGATTTCAATTGAGTGGGTTGAGTCAGAATCAAATACTTGGGAATGCTTTCCAATTTCATGTCTGAAGGCAAGACATATGACACAATTAGTATGATCCACATATAACCAAGGATTACTTCATATTTAATTGAATTATCTATATCCATTACTTATGATGATGTAGAATATACTAGGACACACCCCCATCTACAGTAATAGTAACCAAATTCATCTCTTTCCATACCACTTTCTTCATACACTTGTTTAATTATTTTGTGTGCTGTAACTTCATGCCTGTTAATTTAGATAGATTAGTTGTTATTAAAAAATAGCATCATAACACATGTTTGATGGCCATGTAAAATTTCTTGGTAAAATTTCTTTAATCATGTTGCCCATGTCTAAAGAATACATGTAATTTTTTATAATAGTACACATATCGCTACAGTACATAAATTATGCATACTGAAATTGATTAAACCTAAACCTATCCTAGCAGGCATCAGAGAGCAACTTAACAAACATTATATTTATTCAAACTTTTAAATGATAACTAGCTAACCGAGAGACATGGGCAAACACTCTGACAAATATTGAGAGATCCAAAGCATAATACAAGTGTGGCATCATACTTGATCAAGTAGAAAAATTACTTACTTAACCCTGTTTGAATGGCTGATATATTTTACTTTGCATCCAGGTACTCTACACACGAAACCCAGAGAACGGTTCACCTCTATTTCTCTATTCTGTTCATCAAATTTTTCAATTTTCTGAACCAATGTGTTCACATCCACTTGCATCACATACTTGTCAACAAATTTTGCACATGTCTCCATCAACCATTTTCTTTGAATTTCTCTTGTGACACTGTCATCAGGTACATCAAATGTAGGATGATCTAAATGTAAAAACAATTTGGAACCCTCATATCACTTGAGATAGTACCTTACAGTGTCTATCCAAAAGGCATTGTGATTACAAAAATTGCATACAATTTCAGTAATAGTTAGAGTGTTGTTTCCATTCATCAGTAACATTTGAAAGAATATCTAAAGTACATAATTATGTGGTAACCAACAATCATGTTGTTTTATATAATATACAGTTAATGTCCAATTAATGTCCAAACTGAAGACAAACCAAAATGTGCTCCAAATGCAATAAAAAATTCAATTACCTTCCATATTCAACATGCCACACATTTCCATAAAAGATGCACATATATGTGCTTCTGTTTCACAAAGATGAAATTCTTTATATTCATTGTAATGATTCTCTACACCTTTTGAAGCATTTGTTTTTCCAGTCCTATTCATACTAGCTTGAGACGTTCCAATTTCATTCACGGAAGAATGAGATGAGAAGATACTGAATTCAATATAAAAAAATGAGAGACCAACAAGGTTTTCAGATTTATGAGATATGGCTTTAAAGCTTAGAGGTCGAGGGATTACAATATTATGGGAGAATCTAACCTCTCAGATCTGAAAAAATTTAATTTATCAGTTTTTTATAAAATTACCATATATAAATTCAGTTTTGCATGCCAATCAGCGAACTCTGTCTCAATTCCATCCAGCCTGTCCCACTCTGTATCCCCATCTTGCATGCTCCACTTCGCATTTCTTGATCTTTCCTCAAAAAGTTGATCTCCATGCAATGGCACTTGTTCCAGTATAATATTCCCATCTTCACATTTCATAGCTGGAACATACCTTTCTCAATTTGTTTGCAAAAGTTGTACCATCTCACTTGCAACATTTGAATTTGCAAACTGGATCCCTAGGCAACACTATATAGAATAAAGCCATTAAAAATATATTTATAGAACCAGGCAATGCACTGCGGGTTGAATACCATATACATTCAGGTACCATAATGGAATAAATTGTTTAGATAATTATATTCACAATTGAGCCTTTGTCTGCTTTTAAGGACTTTCTAACATGCAGGCTATTAGGGTTGATGTGATACTAAATTAGATTGTTTAAAAAAAAAAATTTAAATTTATTACCGTTTCTGACTTATCAGCCATCTCTTTGGAATACTTGTGCTGAATATGGTAAACTAGAGCTCGCTTGAGATGTTTAAATTTTCCAAGATATTTACATATCACTCTTGCGACTAATGCAGCCCATCTTGTCTTCAGGTTTTCTTGTACATCTTTACCTGGCAGTAGCTCTATTAACTGGATCTCTTGTAATGGTTTCTGTGGTCTTGATCTGTCTAGTGATGGTTCATTTACACGGTTTAGAATTCCATACTGTTGGGTCCAATGAATAGACCTATTCTCGTGTAATTGCTGTGTTTGAATTCTGGCATGTATCATTATGTCAATGTTGTCACCAACCAATCTGCACAAAAATAAAATTATTGGACTACCACAACATTACTATCTTCAACTCGCCACTTCTACTACAGTATATAGAGCAAAAATATAACATGGCAGATTATTTGTTATTTTAATGGCAGATTTACTCATCTGGTGAATATTGGACTAGTGCTGCCACGTAAACTTAATAAACTAAATTAATAAATATCTTACTTGTATGATGGCAGCTTTCTATGGTGTTGAAGCTGTATTGCAGATTCTAAATCTTCTTCACTGACACAAGACAAATCATCATTACCATGCAAAACAAGCGTTTTACATTGTTTATATGTATCTTCACCAAACATCCTGTACCCCTGTCTCTGACATATCCACCACCACCTCCAACTCCATGTCGTCTTCTGCATTTCTGGAAACCACATTCGTCACTTGTTTCTCTTTTACTTCCTTCATAAGCAACTCAGCAGATTTGTTCAATTCAATTTCTTTTTTCCACAAAAGAAGCTTTCTTTCACAACCTTCTCCCATTTTCCTTTCCATATCAATTATCATATCTGGAGACATACAAACACCAAGTTTGTGTAAGCGACGAATGTCTTGATGTTTTACACCACTATGGAAAAGAATTGCCGAGATTCTGTAAGCAACTGCTGACATCAATTGATTTCTACAACGGGCAGCAACTGCTGAAGATAAAGCCATGTAGTTTATTTGCTTGATACTTTGACTATTCCCACCAGGTGCGTTACATGCCCCCATCAGGCATGACATCCAGTAAGGGCAAGACAGTCGGACTTCTGCTAAAAAAAGCTTGTTTGAAAAAGACTCCAGATCAGTGGGATGACATTGCTTGAGCATTGACTCGAAATCATCACTTTTCGAACAATAATCATTAAATTCCGCACTAACTGTCCTTTTCAGCGGATCGAACAGTTCTGTTTTCAATTCCGGATGCTTGAAGATTATGTTAGCTGCGGGTTTCCATTTCTTCAGAATGAGGTTGATTATTAAGGACTTTGTCGTATCATCAAATGATTCATAAGTTTTTACAATCCCGTTGGGTTGCAAAACTACCGTTTTTAGTTGCGTCGTCGGTTTCTCGTCGTGGTGATCTACATTTAGGGCTGACAACAATGGGTCAAGTGTGCTATCGTTTTCTTTTGGCAGTGTTCCCGTCGATTCCGCGCATTCGACATTTTCTCTAACAAAAAGAGCTTTCTTCGCAGGACCACTTCGGCTAGGCGGCTTAGGCCCATGAGCTGCTTCGAGTTCTGTTCTTCTTAAGGCTTTCTTAACGACAGGGCTTCGTTCGGGGGACAGGACGGTCGTGGGTAATTGACGCTTTACAAAGGTTTCTTTGTTCGATTCAGCGATCGCGTTTATGTCTCGCTTTATCAAAGAAATCAGCTCGCTTGCGTTTCGAATCTTTCGCCCACACGGTTTACAAACTCGGTCGGATAGTTCCGTGGAAGAACTAACTTCGATACCTAAATGTAATGAACACAACTCGGCCAAGGTTTCTCCACTGACGAATTCTTTTCTTCTGGATGATTTGAATAAATTCTCCGACGATATATAAGACACCTTTGCTATTGCCCCATATTTTAGCTTCAACGCACACTTACACAAACGGCAGTGCTCATTTACATTTTCTGCGCTTGCTTTTTTACCTCTTGCCCTGGTTGTAACTTTCTTTGGCGTTTCTTTTGACATATTTATATATATTGAAATTTCATTTTTCCTACTACATTTTGAGCGATTGTTTCGAGGAACAGAGTTGAATAAATAACCGGAATATATAATAATCCTAGTTACTCAATAACACAGTTTTGCTATTAATATATTAGCTGTTTGTTGATTGGCTAATTGTTCCCAGACAGAAAAGGGGCGGTTGACAAAAAACATAGCCGAACCCGGCAGGCGGTCTTTTGCTGTCCTCGCCATCAGTGTCCTCGCCTCGCCCGATTTCAGGGACCGCCTGCCATGCAGGCTAGGCTCAGCCTAGATGCGGGCACGCGCTATGCACATGGTTAAATTTTTGCCTGAAGCGCCATGCTAGCTACGGTATTTTGCGTTGAAAAAAAACAAGGAAGAAACCGAATTGCGATGTGGTTGTTAATAGGTCTGTTAATGCTCATTGTGCATACAAATACACACACCGAGCGCAGTAAGCCTACACCAAAAGATGCCGAGCGTTTCGATACGGGCTGTTCTGTCGCTCTGTTGATGAAGTGAATACGTTGTTGCTTATCTTGAAGTTCAATTGCTATGAATATGATTATACAAACTATTCAAACTTTCTGATCAAATTTGCAATGTCAATACAATCTTGCGAGATCTCTCTAGTATCTATTGAAAGTTCCTGTATAACAACTGTGTCAAGGAAGTATGTGACGATGGAGTACAATTCCAGCAAGCTCATGAGCGAAGGCGAGAAGGCAAAGCTATGTCCTAGAGGTACTCACGTTGATATTTTTAACAGATCTAGACCCAAACTAGCAGGGAAGTACGGCAATGGCTGTCGGTGTCATTGTTTTCGAAGAATAATACTAATTGCCATATGTACGACGTTAATCACAGTTGTATTTATATTTGTGTACAATTATTACTTTACGTACTGCATAAGATTTGAGGACTATGTTGATCAAATTAAAGAGAATAATAAAATCCTATATTATACCATAGTGTTCTTGTGTAAATTCACCATACATAGAATTAGAGGTTCACGAGAAACTAAAAGTTCTGACATAGTCCATTTAGGAAACAATGTGGGACTAGCCACTGAAATAAATTGGTCAGATACTTCTATAGTCAGTCGAAAAGATTTAAGCCAGTTAAGATCACGCTATGCCAGGTTTGTTAACGAGAAAAGCTTTGAGATGTCCGTTTACTCGGTGGCGATCAAGGGCGAGGCGAAAGTGAAGTACCATGTTTATGTTAGACACCGTGATCGAGAACCAACCAGAATTCCAGCGAAGAAACTAAATCGTCTGCTTGGAAAAAGTAGAAAGTTGAGAAAACTAGTTTGAAGGCGGGTTAGAAAGAGCGTACCGAGCTCTTCTCGCATCTTTCGTTTACTGTATGCATCAAGTCGTGAACGCTGTAGACTGCTGAATGATCAAATAATGTATACTTGTCAGTTGTTGACTCGTAGGAAGTGTCCTATTCGTCATGATCCAACTAAACTGTGTTTCCAAGGCCAATGACGTTTTAAAAATAACAAACGAAAATTATGCAAAAATAAAAAAGCTGTAAATGGAACTACTTGCTGTAAGTGTAATATTTACAAAAGCCTGAGTCATTTTATTAACTGCTGCAGGTATAATCTTAGTGGAGACATAGAAACAAATCCTGGACCTGTATTTGTTGAAGCTACTAGAACTATTCATGCACCTTACAGTCAGGGTAATATTAATGTGTTTGGTACTAATGCAGGGAGGCAATGTACAGCTATGAGTTTATGTGCCTTAATATATAAGTACACTTAAACAGCAATAAGTGACTCAGAAGACCTCACAGTAATTATGGGCACTGGTAATGAACTGTATGGTGCTTTATCAAGATTGTCTGGACAAACATATTTACTGTTAAGTGAATTACCTAACATGGTTACAGTACTAGATACAAATTACCAGCTGGAGTTCAGTGGGAGTTACACTGGTAATCTACATGCGGTTACTATTGATGATAACATTCCATATGTTATGCCATTAGCCTGTGCTGTGCGAGGTTTGTTGCGACAACGTTATGGCTCATTTCTTTTGACAATCGGATGCAACACTGTATCAGTTTATTTGATGCCAAATGGCTCACTTAAAATATTTGACTCCCATGCAAGAGATTCATTTGGTATGGCTAATCCACATGGGACATGTGTATTGTTAGAAGTAACTTCAGTTAATAATTTAACTGAATATTTCAAAACCTGTTACTACAGAGGTGATATTTTGTTTGAACTGAAAGGTGTTAAAATTAGTACTAATGACCAAGCTAAAGAATTCACAAACAAAAGTCTAAAATCAAATCAGTTTGTACCAACATCCGATGCAAAAAATGACAAACCTTATGTTGCATTTGAAGAATTGTGAGCGACCAATTCTGAGCGACCAATTAGATGAGGGACTCAAAACTAACATGCTTGAAGAAGAATACAAATCTTGAGCTCAGTCAAACAGAAAATTAATGAGACTCTTGATCCATCTAAAGCAGATTATGATGCTTCATTAACTGAGACAGATATTTTAAAGTATTTGGAAATTGAAGAAGATCAATATTACTGGGCACGATCCATTTCTCCTGATTCTGACTTTGAGTTGCACCTTAAAAGACCTGTAGATAGCTGCTTTATTAATAACTATTTTATAGCTGGAATTAAGGGCTTTGCAGCAAATGTTGACCTACAACCTGTATTTAACCATTATAAATGCATAACATATGTATGTTCATATTTTACAAAAGATGAAACTGAATGTTCTCAAGCTATTGTTAATGCAGCAAAAGAAGCTAAAGCTGAAAACATGGGTATCAGAGAAGGCTTGAAAAGAGTTGGTGCTGCTTTTTTGTCCACCAGGGAAGTTAGCTCACAGGAATGTGTTTATAGAGCAATGCCTGAACTTTGGTTGAGAAAAATATTCCCTGGAACAGTTTTTGTCAACACAAATCTTCTAGAACAAAGAGTACGGGTCACTAAAAATCAAGAAGAGCTTGATGAACTAGATGATGATAGTACTGATATTTTTAAATCAAATATTATTGAACGTTACATCATTAGGCCAACATCCATACCCATAGTAGCCAGGATGTGTCTTGCAGAATTTGCTGCATATTATTATAAAGATTACAAAGTAGACTGTGAAACACAACATGCTCAGCCAGATGTGCTAACAGATGATGTTATTGAAAGTCAAAGTGCAACTAGTACAATGCAACACCTTCCAAAAAAAATTAAATTGCTTAACAAAAATGAATACATGAAATGTCGAAAAGTCAAAGCTGTGTTAAGGTACCATACACCAAGTAAAAAGAAACAACCAGAATTGTACTTCCACCATTTGCTTGTGCTCTATTACCCATGGCGAGATGAAAATAATTTATTAGCTAATGATCAAACATATGCATCCAAGTTTTATGAAGCAGATGTCCAAAAAATTGTTGAACACAACAGATCAATATTTGAACCAGACGCAGATGCTATTGATGAAGCATTTGAGGTAATGAAATCTAAGGAAGGCAAGACTTACCAATCATTTGATTCACTTAATGATCAGGAGAATGCAAACATACTGGATGAAATGCCTGATGATTTGAACCCAGATGAATCCTTCAATGAACAGTTGCCTTCACATCTTGATCCTGCAGGACAATGTAATGATCAGTCTGCTTCTGGAGCTATTGCAACCTACCACCAGCCAACAGAAATAGCTGATGATACATTACGTCAAAATGTGAGATCATTAAACAAGCAGCAACGTCTTGCTTATGATACATTCCTGTCAGGTGTCATAACAAAATGAAGAATTTAAACAGCCTAAAGCCAGTCGAAGTACAACCACTGTACCTATTCTTGACTGGAGGTGGTGGAGCTGGGAAAAGCCATGTAATTAAAACAATATACCACACAGCAGTTAAGACATTTAGACACCCTCCTGTTAACCCTGAATTACCAACAGTACTGCTTATGGCACCAACAGGTGTAGCTGATATAAATATTGAGGGGACAACAATTAACACTGGTCTTGCTATTCCTAAAGAAGCTGGTGATAATGTGCCTCCATTGTCAGACCAGAAAAGAACACAGTTAAGATTAACATTATCTGATTTAAAGCTTTTTATTATTGATGAAATTTCTATGGTGGGAAATACAACTTTGCTTCATATTCACCAGAGACTCAAAGATATCTTTGGTACGCCAAACTCTTTCTTATTTGCAGGCATATCTATTATAGTTGTTGGTGATCTTTGTCAACTGCCGCCAATACGTAAAAGGTTTGTTTTTGATACTTACAGAAACGATATTTATAATTTATGTCATCCGTGGAAGGTCTTTCAAATGATAGAGCTTACTGAAATCATGAGACAAAGAAATGATCAAGCATTTATTGAACTTCTCAACAGGGTAAGAACTGCTACACAAACAGATAATGACATCAAGGTAATCCAATCAAGATCAATATCCCCAGATGATCCTAATTATCCATCAAGCGCACTCCATATTTGGGCAGAGAACTCACCAGTTGATGACCACAACAAAGCAAAATTAGAACAACTTACTGGACCATTGTTTGTTCTCAAAGCTAAGGATCAATTTCCACCAAATGTCAAGAAACAATATAATTAATAGGGTTCTAGCAAGAAAACGATCTGAAACAGGAGGGCTTAATTATGAAATTCATATTAAGAAAGGTGCCAGGGTGATGTTGACAACCAATATCAATATTTCTGACAGACTTATCAATGGACAAATTGGGAGTGTGTTTAAAGTTGATGTCAATCCAACTAATCAGAAGGCAACAGTTCTTTACATTAAATTTGATGACCCTAATGCTGGTAAAAATCTGATCAACACCACTAGCAATGTAATGGCAAGAGAACATCAAGTTGTCCCAATTCAACCTGTATTGGCCAAAATCAAAATAAGACCAGGTAAACCATCTTCTCCAGAAATACAGAGAGTACAGTTCCCTGTAGCACTAGCTTGGGCATGTACAGTACATAAAGTACAAGGATTAACTCTTGATCAAGTGGTAGTGAGCACTGAGTTAGTAAAGCAGAGATCATTTAACTATGGTCAAATTTATGTTGCCTTAAGCAGAGCAACGTCTTTACAAGGTCTTTATATCTTAGGAGAGATATAGAGTAAACATGTAAAAACGAACCCTAAAGTACTAGAAGAATATGAAAGACTGAGGAATAAATGTGTTATAAATTGCAATTCAGGCTTGCAAAGAGACTGTGATACTCTAACCATATCAGTTTTGAATGTGAGATCTCTTAAAAGACATTACATTGACATTAAATGTGATTCAAGACTTTTTACTAGTGATGTCATTGCTCTTACTGAAACTCAGTTAGTTCAAACTGACTCTGACAATGAAATTACCAATACACTTAGATAGTCCCTTTAAACTGCATCGTCAAGACCATATCAGTGATAAATATTCAAGTATGGCACTATGCACAAGAGGTAGTGTTGACATCAGAGATTGTGAATATTTTCCTGCACTGAATGCAATTAAATATGAACTGATTAACAGGACATCCAAGAAAATACAAAATGTTCTTCTACTTTACCGGAAACAGAACTCTAATGTGTCGCAATACATAGAATGTTTGAGATATATCCTCACAACTAACACTGTTGATATTGTTCTTGGTGATTTTAATATTAATTACTTCAATGATAATCAAATTGAACATCTTAGATCATTAATGGAGTATCTAAATTATATTCAAATTGTCACAAAGCCAACATTTCTATCATCTGGAAGCCTGCTTGATCATGTTTACATGAAATCAAGAGTTGAAATAATTGAAAATCATGTAATCAGTGTTTATTATTCAGACCATGATGCTGTTAGGTTTACAATAAAATTTATGTGAATATTTAAATATCTTAACTTCTGTACTGTCTACATATAGGTAGTAGGACAATAATGTTAAGCAAAGTTGATGATAAAAAACTTGGATGAAATATCTCTACTTGTACATAAGCAGAGTGAACCAAAATTCTAATCGTAACTATTACCATGCAGTCATGATCACTGAGCTTCACTTGTCTTTAACTCATTTTCCTATTTACAGATCCACTCTAGTCACTCTAATTCCCTCTTCATAAACTTGAGAACTGGTCTGCACCAATTAATGATGCATTATAATGTATCAGTCCTGAAAAGGAGTTTCAAGACTGATTATATAAAATTTGCACATGCATGATTGAAGGTCCATGTGGCAACATGGTAAGTGATTATAACTTTAATGTGTCTGTATTCAATTGTAAATAATGTTACCCCCGGCCAGACATTGACAATTCTACAGTGTAGCATGCTAAAAGTTTGTGGTAATTATTTAATTACTCCGCCTGCGTATGCGCAGCGGAGTCTTAAAATGCCATGGTCTTTTTTCCTTTTCGTCGTAGTCGTAGTAGTTTTGGGCGACAGAAGTTGGCATTTCTACAGGTAACCCAAACGAACTTCATTTCTGACCGAGAAGCCCTGGGTTACACGGATGAATTATGTACATCAGTTGGCATTTAGGGAGATTTGGGGGTGATTTTGGGCAATATTTATTTTTCTTTGTGTGATTGTGTTCTTGTGCCTCGTGTTTGAATCGACGTTCTTCCCTCGTGAAAAATATGAATGTCGAATTGAAACAGTTTTCAGAACCATGTTCAACAACTAAAAAGGTAAGTTGTTAAGATTTAGATTGTATTCATATGCTGTGGCGGTAATAGCATAATAGTATACCCAAGATTTTCTGTTTTATAGTTGATTTAGTGATTCACGTTGACGTAGTGTTTTAATACAAAGTTACAAACTATATTCAAAGTACTGTTTGCTCTCAGAAAATATTATACATACTACAAATTTAGCGACCCTGCATGTTTAAGAATTCGATATTTCTATTTACTAGAGTCTATTTTAAAGCCTGTTTTATGCCGAACCAAAGTAATTTTAGAATTTTAAATTAAGTTGCCAAGCTCTGTCGTATTTCAGATTACACCATGACATTCTTTTAATCACAAATATTAAATTTCTTTACTATCTTGACGATTACACTGCAAAAACTGCCCAGGTAACACAAGATTGCATGGGAAAACTCTAAAGTATTAAATTACCACTATAAAAAATCGATACATGGTGGAAGACTTTGCCCAGAAGCGTGGCATATAAATATGAGTAATCATGCTCTGAATAGGGACGACAGTACCCATTTGCCAGAGAAATATGCATCTTATTGGCAGGTGACATCATCCCTTGGGTATCTAAGAAGCTTTGATTCCAGCTTTAGATCACCCCTGATGAAGACAGTAGACTGGACTGTCGAAACGTTAGGTCCTGATTACAATTTGACCAGGTTTTGTAATCATTTATATAAACCAGAGTAGCGAGCGATAATATTGAATTTGATTTGCCAAACATATAACACCCTATTTTTGTTCTAATTTCCAGGTTTTGGTGCCCTTGAGTGTGAATTCCATGAATGCACATTTGAATACCAAGTGATCAGACATGTAATGTTTTACCACGGCCACCTGAAATGTCTGGTATAATAATGCTCAAGCTTAAACGCAAACTTGAATTTAGAGGTCATGTATATTTTCAAGCAGTTCGTCCCCAACAAGTTCTAATGCATTGAATTGGCTAAAACAAAATAACCCATTGTATTACAATATTAGAACTGATATGAATAATATCAGTGCAAATCTTCAAAACTTAGAACAAGATGATACTTTAGCAGAAACGTCAGAATCAGCAGATACGTCTTCTGTAATATTACAACCAAATGAAACTGACAATATGGAAGAAGATGATGATCCACTAAATAAATATCGACGAGCAACAAATGAATCATGTTTACAGTCAGTACTACCAAACTATCCTGTTACTATACAACAAAGTGGTTCACTGGGTAATGAAATATATGATATTGCTCCTGGAGAAAATAGACACCCTGTATCAATAATGACCGACAAGAAATCAGAACAACTTGCATTCCCGGTATTATTTCCAAAAGGACGCTTTGGGTATATGGAAGAGAGAAAGATTAAATTATCTCCTGTGAAGTACTTCAATGCGCGTCTTCTGCATTACAGTGGGAGATTTGCTACAAATTCAGAATATCTATTCTTTGCACAATTTGTAACTGAACAAAAGAAAGTCGCTGATAGCATTAACATTGCTTTAAAAAAGATCCAAGGCCAGCCTGTGACTGCATCCCAGATAAAGTCAGATGTTAACAAATTGAAAAGCCTAGTTTGTCAAGATCAAGCATACTTATTTTTGAGGCAAATTCCTGGTACACCACCCTACTGGCAAAAGTTTATGTATGAAGTAGTCGCAATGGTAAAACAACTTGGTATCCCAACATGGTTTATGACGTTATCATGTGCTGACCTGAGATGGCCTGAGTTGTTTCAAATAGTTGCTAGAACACAAGGAAAAGATATAACTGAAGAAGAAGTTGAAGCTTTATCGTATGTGGAAAGGTGTCAAATGCTAATCCTGTTGTTGTTGCAAAACACTTTCAACACCGAGTAGAAACATTTTTTAGTGAAGTCCTTCTTAGTCATTGTAACCCAATAGGCAAAATAACTTACTATGCTCTTCGAATTGAGTTTCAAATGAGAGGATCTCCCCACTTACATGCATTAGTATGGACTTCTGATTGTCCAAAACTTACTTCTGAGAGCAAGGATGCCTATGTAGCATTTATTGATGAACATGTGCAAGCTAACCTTCCTAATAAACAAGATGAACTAGAGTTGCACGAGTTAGTCAAAACGTATCAAAAACATAACCATTCAAAAACCTGCAGAAAGTACAAAAACGTTCAATGTCGTTTTAATTTTGGACAGTTCTTCACCAAACGAACAATTATAGCTGAGCCTCTTGATGAGAATATGGATGAGGAAGCCAAGTGCACTATACTTAATAGACGAAAAGAAATCCTAACATTAGTCAAAAACAAAATTGATGAAGTCTTGAATCCATCGTCAAAAGAAAACTATATTGCAACTGCTACCGAAAAAGATATATTAGATTCAATTGGTATAGCTGAAGGTGAATATTATTGGGCTCTCTCAATTTCACCAGATTCTGATTTCGACTTACATCTTAAACGACCAGTAGATAGTTGTTTTATTAACAATTATTTTGTCGCTGGGATTAAGGGATTTGCGGCAAATGTCGACCTACAACCAGTTTTTAATCATTACAAATGCATAACATATGTATGCTCATATTTTACAAAGGATGAAACTGAATGTTCTCAGGCTATACTTAACGCTGCAAAGGAAGCTAAATCATCTAACATGAACATCAGAGACGGTTTAAAAAAAATTGGTGCTGCTTTTCTTTCTACAAGAGAGGTTAGTTCACAAGAATGTGTATATAGATGTATGCCTGAACTGTGGTTGAGAAAAATATTCCCAAAGACTGTTTTTGTCGGTACAGATTTACCAGAGAAAAGAGTCCGTATGACTAAAACTCCAAGTGAGCTTGATGAACTTGATGATGACAGCACAGATATTTACAAATCCAACATAATTGAGCGTTATAGCCTAAGACCAAAAGGAATTCCTGTTGTTGATAGATTATGTTTAGCACAATTTGCTGCATTCTATTATAAGGATTATAGGACAGAGAATGTTGAAACGAAGGATTCTCAACCTGATGTTTTAAATTATGACTTGCTTGAATCACATCACTCGAAGGAAGATACAGAACAATCTCTTCCACCCAAAATTAAATTAATGAACAGAAATGAAACTATGAGGTGTAGGAAGGTTCAAGCTATTATAAGATATCATACACCAAATAAAAGAAAAGAACCAGAGTTATATTTCCATCATTTGCTTATGCTGTATTTTCCTTGGAGAAGCGAAACAGAGCTCCTAAGTTCCGATCAAACATATACATCCAAATTTTATGAACCTGACGTTCAAGCTATTGTGGAAAAAAAAAGTTTTGTTTGAACCTGATGCTGATGCTATAACTATGCACTAGAAGCAATGAGAAATAATCCTGACAAAACAATCCATTCCTATGATACCATAAATGATCAGGAAAATTCAGATCTCCAAGACAACTACCAAATGATACAAATCCTAACGAGTCATTTAATGAACAACGACCTGATCATCTTCACCTTACACAATCAAATCAGTCTTCTGCTACAATTACTTACCACAATCAACCATCAGAAATTTCCGATGATCAACTGCGCCAATCAGTTAGATCCTTGAATGCAGAACAAAGGTGTGCATATGACATAGTTCTGTCTTGGTGCAGAAAACTAATAAAAAACATGAACAGTTTAAAACCTGTTGAAATAAAACCTATATACCTCTTCCTTACTGGAGGTGGTGGCGCTGGCAAAAGTCACTTGATCAAAACAATATACCATACGGCAGTTAAAACGTTTAGACATCCTCCGTTTAACCCTGAATTACCAACGGTTCTATTAATGGCACCTACAGGTGTTGCAGCTATAAATATTGATGGAACAACCTTAAATACAGGACTTGCTATTCCTAAAGAAACAGGTGAGAACCTTTCGGCAATGTCTGACCAGAGAAAAACACAGTATAGACTCTCTTTAAAAGACGTAAAACTTATAATTATAGACGAAATTTCTATGGTTGGAAACACAACTTTGTTACACACTCACCAACGATTAAAGGAAATCTTTGGTTGCTCATCTACCAAGTTATTTGCACAAATTAGTATTATATCTGTAGGTGATCTGTATCAGTTACCTCCAATAAAAAAGAGACCAGTTTTTGATGATTACAAAATTGAAGCACACAATCTCTGTTATCCATGGAGGGTTTTTAAAATGGTCGAACTTACAGAAATCATGAGGCAAAAAAACGATAAGGCATTTACTGAGCTTCTCAATAGAGTAAGAACAGCTTCTCATACTGAGGATGATATTAAAGTTATTCAATCAAGAAGAGTTTCGCCATCTGATCCCAACTATCCATCAGATGCACTTCATATTTGGGCTGAAAATTCTCCTGTTAATGAACACAACCAAATGAAACTGGAACCCATTCAAACACCGCTATATGTACTTAAAGCAAAAGATCAGTATCCACCAAATGTTAGTAAACAAGATATTGATAAAGTTTTATCAAGAGGACGATCTGAAACATGTGGTCTTGATGCCGAAATTCAAATTAAAGAAGGCACCAGAATAATGCTTACTACAAATATCAATATACAAGATCGACTTATCAATGGGCAAATGGGAACTGTAGTAAAAATTGATGCTAACATTAATAATGTACCAACAGTTGTATATGAAAAATTTGATGACGAGAAAGCTGGAAAAACAACAATAAATACAAGTACCAATCCTTTTGCTAGAGAAAATCACGTTGTACCAATTCAGCCTGTTCTTGCAAAGATTAAAGTTAGACCAGGTAAAGCATCTTCACCTGAAATTCAGAGAATACAATTTCCCATAGCACTCTCTTGGGCTTGTACTGTCCATAAAGTGCAGGGACTTACTCTTGAAAATGTTGTTTTCAGTTTGGACTTAAAGAAGCAAAGATCTTTCAACTATGGACAAATTTATGTAGCGTTAAGCCGTGCAACATCCTTAAAAGGTTTACACATACTCGGAGAAATACAAAGTAAACATATCAAGGCAAATCCCAAAGTACATGAAGAATACGAAAGACTTCGAAACTCCAGTTCATGTTAAACGCACCAATAGAAAAAGATTGCTGCAATAATTCAGTTCTGACAATATCACTGTTGAACATCAGATCTCTGAGAAAGCACAGTAAAGATATCAGGTCACATTCTCAGTTGTTCAATTCTGATGTACTGGCACTAACTGAGACACAGCTTTTACCTAATGACTCTGACATAGAAATTACAAACACTTTAAAACCTTTTAGAATTTATCGTCAAGATCATGCAGACAAATACTCTAGCATGGCAATCTGTATAAAAAGTAGTTTGGAAATACAAGATTATGAATACATTCATTCACTTAATGCACTTAAGTTCAATCTGGTTGACACTAAACTACAAGAGTCGCATTCCTTCCTTTTATTATATAGAAAAAACACCTCCAATATCTCGCGTCATTTGGAAGCATTAGAATATATCCTTAATAGTTCCAGAATTGACATGGTCCTTGGTGACTTTAATATTAACTACCTTAATCAAACTCAATCTCAACCGCTAGCGACATTAATGGAATCCCTAAACTATACTCAAGTTGTTACCGAACCCACATTCGTTTCTTCTGGTAGCTTACTAGATCATGTGTATGTAAGACCAAATTCTTTAAGAATACTGAACAATTCTGTTGTAAGTGTTTATTACTCTGATCATGATGCTGTTGTCACTTCGCTACAGTACTGCACATAGTAAATTTTTTGGCAATATTGTTTTATTTTCTATATGTAGCTATTTGTAAGTAATGCATGTATGTTTGGGTATACTGATGTACATCTTTGAATGCCAAGTGTTTGTATGAATGCCAGCCTTTCCGATGCAAGAAAACCTTTGTTGCAGTTCATACTGCAACACCTGCTTCCCTCTCATGACACCTCTCGTGCTTTCATTCTCGATTATTTGGTGGATCCTTATTCCTTAGACAATATAAAGGTAAGCTCCATTCCCTATTTTTCATTCTCTTAGATGTTTTTGCATCATGTGATCAACGTAGTTTTTATATTTTATAGGTTGACGCCAGCCACAATGAAAAACTACAAGTTGTTCATGAAATGAAGAACACAACAGCTATCGAGGAGGAGATGCTGGATTCTCGCTAGCTTTAAATTGGTAAGATCTCTATGTGCAGTATAACATAAAAAATCTATTGTTCTGACCGAAAACTAGCAAAAACAAACTTTTATTAATATATTCAGACTATGATTTCTATAAATAAGACCACTCATTTTGAAAAGCTGCCCAATGGACGCGGTTTGGGTTCAAATTAATAAGGTGTTTTTTGGCCAAAGTATTTTTAGTGTACAGCATTCCAATTAGTCTTTTTACTCTTTGTATTATCCACCAAATAACCTGTCATTATGGACAGTGGAAACCCTAGGAATAATTTATGTGAAACATTGTGTTCACTTTAGGCCATGAATAATTCAATCCTCAAAAGTCCCCAATCCCCAGTGGTGATATCAATGATGACGAATCATGAAGAAATCTCAAATGTTACGAATACTGGCGAACCCCAATTGAGTGTGCAGGAAGTTGAATACTACCTTAGAAATCTAGATGCGACAAAAGCCTGTGACCCGGATGGAATATCAGCACCCATTCCTAAAGAATATAGTCGTGGTATTGCACCAAGTCTTTGTGAATTTTTTAATTTATCCTTGTGTGTTGGGCGACTGGCCGTTGAGTGGAAAGCAGTTAATTTGAAACCAGTTCACAAGAAAGGCTTGAAAGGGCCAGCGGAAAATTACTGGCCAATATCTCTGTTGCCCATTAACGCTAAAATGAGTGGAACGTTTTGATGCAAACAACGTTACGGTCAGGTAATCAGATATATATATTTCCCTCAGTCAACAAGTTCTTGTAAAACCGATGAGGTATAACACAAATACTACAGGTTGTTCACAAGATTGGAGAAAACTTTGACTACTATTAACTGACGTAGCGTATTTACATTTTGCAAAAGCCTTTGACCCTGTTGACCACTGTTTAATCTTCGCAAAACTCAAGCAATATATATGGTGTTTGTGGACGGATGGTTCAAAGACTATTTACCTGGCAGAACACAAAGAGTTGTCACTAATGGTTTCGCTCCAAATTGGTCTTGTGTTACATCGGCGTGTCTCAGGGAAGCATAAATAAGACAAACAACAAAGGGCTAAGTAAAAACGATTTACCAAACATCATGCCGAAAGCTCCGATCGAGAGATCTGATTTTATTCTACAAAGCCCTTTAACGTATGGCAAACCTTAATGCCCACAAACAGGTTTTTTTCTTCCCCACAACCGAACTTGTCACAGCAACAATCCAAACCTCGTACTCAAAACTCCCTGCTGCAATCCATCCACCTACCAGACGTCATACTTCAATCCAATTGTGAAACTGTGTTTGCAGTTCAGCTGCCTCAAATACATTCTCTTGTTTGAGAACATTCAAAAACTACCTTTATGAATTATGAACATTATTCTAATTAGTATGTTCTGTTTTTGATGTTAATTTGTTATGTACCAGATCAGTGTCACGTGAATGTCCTTGTTATCGTATTTGACCGTCTTGTGTTTTTTTATTGTAATTTGTTGTTCTGTATTTTGCTTGTTTTCTTACTTATAGTAAGGGTAATTGTCACTGTTTACATTACCTGTTGTTCGTAAACGACGTTGTGTGCTGTTCTTGCAAAGGTCGTTAACGCAAATCTCTTCACATTGCACGGGATCGAGGTAATTTAGAAGCGATTTTCTCCCATTTAAAGGACATTGGCAACGAAAATTTTTATTCGCTATTTTTAAAGTGTTCAACCGTCTAATTATGGATATAGTGTTAATTTGTTCCAAAAATGTTTCGTTTATGAGTTATTTTCACCACAATTCAGCCAAAATTTGGACCTCGTCCGCCATATTGGATCAATTTTTGAAAAAATTATATTTGGCGGAAGTGACGTCATTTGATGGGTTCCCTAAACACATCAATATATTTTACTAGCGTGTTTACTGTGTTTATCGAGATTTTTTGCTTTAAAAAGGGAGTTGTAGTTTTTTTATGATTGTCATGGAACATATTAACGAAAACCATGCAGTTAGAGGAAGTGTTGCCCTACCAATATGAGCCAGAGGCGCAGGGAAAATCTTGTGATATATATCTAACGATAGCGATGCCGAATACGGTAGTGATTCATCTTCCTCTGACGAAGATTTCGATCGCGAGTTCGAAATAGGGAATGCGGGCGCCTTGAAAAACTTACTTGGTGTAAATGTGGACATTGCGCATTATTAACAAGGGCTGTAGAATGTTATTGCTGCTATGAAAAGCACTAGAGTACGACGAATACGAACATTTCGCAAACTCGCGCTTCGTCGTGTGGTCACTCAAATAATATTTTGTCGTGTCGTATGACATGTTCCTTTGATTTCTCTCACATGATACGGCAATTCCTCTAAAAGGAACAAATAAACCGTGCGTTTGATGCTGTTCGATTAAGTTTCGATTTAATTGGGGAAAGAATATATTAAATACATGTAGATTCTGGTCCTATTTTAATATTATCGCTGCTATTTCGCCGTTTAACAAGATATGATCACTTATGGTTGCGTTGACACGTCGCAGTTAATTTGCACAGGATTGAAGATTTAATATATAAAGCACGAATTCCAAAGTGTAAGACAAAGTGAACGTATCATGCGGTTTATTTACATTTTTGAACAATTAAACTTCTATACTTTTTAAAGTACAATGAGCTTCTGAATTTCGCGATCGAACAACATTTAGGTTTGCAAGGCATCTAAATGAATATGAACTGTATAAAATGCACCGCATATAATGTCAATTGCATGGCATATAAAGAGAAATGCACCGCGTATAATGTCAATTGCACGGCATATAAAGAGAAACGCACCGCGTATAATGTCAAAAGGACAGCATATAAAGAAAAATGCACCGCATATAATGTCAAAAGGACAGCATATAGAGACAAAAGCACCGCATATGATGAATATATACCAACGTAAGACAGCTATGGCATTCCATAGTATGGTTTATGTTCAGAGCCTTTATATTGAAGACTAGCACGTGCGCGGCACGCCGGAGTTAACGCCAGAAAAGGCGTCTTGTTTATGCTAAAATATAGTAAAATTGTTAGCAGGGGAAAATATGCGCGCCTTAGCTTTAGTATAAATCTAAATATAAGTAGAATTCTAAACTTTGGGAGATTGGTTATTAGCTGTGTTGTGTTGCCACCGTAACGTCCTGTTGTGTATCGACGTGCACTGCATGTGTAAATATGTGTATACATAGTTCATATTCAATGTTCTCTTCCAAATATTTTGAAAAACATGTCCCCGCAATGTTGATGCATTAATTTTGCATAGGTATTTGATTCTGTCCCCCCTCTATACTCTATTTTACCAAGTTTTTCAAGTTGCCATATGAGAATACAACAATAGTTTATATAATCATATTTCCCGAACCCATCAAATGACGTCACAAATGTATTCTAGCATAAATTAGCATAAAGCTCGATTTTCAAAATGGCGGACCACCGATGAACATTTTTGGAAATTTTCTCAAGAACCAAATTCGATAGACACACAAAAACATTAAATTAAGTATTTCCTAGATGATTTCAACAGATTTGGCAAATAAAAATTTTCGTTGCCAATGTCCTTTAAAGCTTTATACCTTTTCATCAGTGATCTCGCTTGCTTGTTGAGTGGCGCGACTCTCAGAGGCGCCTGGTCTCCGTTGGCGCGACTCCCAGAGGCGCCTAGTCTCCGTTGTTATTGTCATTGTTTTTCTCATTGTTTTTGTCATTATTATTGTCATTGATATTGTCATTGTTACCATAGCGCTGGAGAACCATTTGCCATTTGGTGTATGGATAACTTCTCCAGTGTTTGTTCTGTAGCTGTACTAATATGAAACGTCGCTGATACAATTAAATTAGATCAGCAAACATATAAATGTTATGCATGTTACTAAATAGCTTTGATGGGACTCAATTTGGAACTTCTGTAAGTTCTGTTGCC